GTCCTACTTCGTCCCGAACGGCAGCTGGCATCACACCTGTTTATGGCTACCAAGCTGACGATCGCGAGGGCTTGGAAGACTCCCCTCCTCAGCTTCGAGGCTGTCAAAAACCGGATGAACTTCATAATGGTCAATGAAAAACTGACGGCTATACTGTTAGACACCCACACAAAATTCCTGCAGACATGGCGTCCCTGGCTTGATATAGCCCAATCATCGAGATTCGACCAGTCCCTTTTGTCGATATAAAATTTACATATCAGTTTATTTTTCTTTTTTTTTTCTGCTGCGATCCCCCTGGAGCCCTTTTTGTTTTCGTTTTCATCTCCTTCCTCTTCGTTCCTCTCTTTCCTTTTGTCTAGTCTGTTTTCATGCTATGTGTACTGATTGTGATTATTGCTTTGAGTGCCGCACCAGCAATACTATATCCTTATGCTGGACTCCATCGGAAGCCCTGCGTGTGGAATGCCCATTTTTATTCAGAGAGGTTACATCTCATATCATCTCCGCTTTCTATATGTTGATATAGTGACAATTTTTAGAGTTTATTGGTCTATAAACGTTTTCCATTTTTGCAACTTATTGTTTTCTCCCCTTTTTTTTTTCTCCTCTTTCTGTACTTGGCACTTAAGTATGCTGTTTATTTCTATGTCTCTCCATCAGTACGTATTTTGTAATATTCATCGAATACCTTGTATGTTTTATTCCTGTTGGTCAATATATCTGTTTTTGACTGATTCGCTGCTCCTATCTATTCTGTAATAAAATTCTTTGTAAAAGAAAGTGGAGAAGAGAGCCAGCGAGGACAGGTGGAGAGGGTGTTGATGAGTATTATGTGCACAGTCTCTGACCATCACCGGTATTATGTGCACAGTCTCTGACCATCACCGGTATTATGTGCACACACCGGTGCACAGTCTCTGGCCATCACGGGCATTATGTGCACAGTCTCTGGCCATCACGGGCATTATGTGTACAGTCTCTGGCCATCACCTGTATTATGTGCACAGTCTCTGACCATCATCTGTATTATGTGCACAGTCTCTGACCATCACCTGTATTATGTGCACAGTCTCTGACCATCACCTGTATTATGTGCACAGTCTCTGACCATCACCTTGTATTATGTGCACAGTCTCTGACCATCACCTGCATTATGTGCACAGTCTCTGACCATCGGTATTCTGTGCACAGTCTCTGACCATCACCGGTATTATGTGCACAGTCTCTGACCATCACCGGTATTATGTGCACAGTCTCTGACCATCACTTGTATTATGTGCACAGTCTCTGACCATCACTTGTATTATGTGAACAGTCTCTGACCATCACCGGTATTATGTGCACAGTCTCTGGCCATCACCGGTATTATGTGAACAGTCTCTGGCCATCACCGGTATTATGTGCACAGTCTCTGACCATCACTTGTATTATGTGCACAGTCTCTGACCATCACCTTGTATTATGTGAACAATCTCTGACCATCAGTATTATGTGCACAGTCTCTGGCCATCACCGGTATTATGTGAACAGTCTCTGGCCATCACCTGTAATATGTGCACAGTCTCTGACGATCACTTGTATTATGTGCACAGTCTCTGACCATCACCTGTATTATGTCCTCAGTCTCTGACCATCACCTGTATTATGTCCACAGTCTCTGACCATCACTTGTATTATGTGCACAGTCTCTGACCATCACTTGTATTATGTGAACAGTCTCTGACCATCACCGGTATTATGTGCACAGTCTCTGGCCATCACCGGTATTATGTGAACAGTCTCTGGCCATCACCTGTATTATGTGAACAGTCTCTGGCCATCACCTGTATTATGTGCACAGTCTCTGACCATCACCTGTATTATGTGCACAGTCTCTGACCATCACCTGTATTATGTGCACAGTCTCTGACCATCACCTGTATTATGTCCTCAGTCTCTGACCATCACCTGTATTATGTCCACAGTCTCTGACCATCACTTGTATTATGTGCACAGTCTCTGACTATCACCTGTATTATGTGCATAGTTTCTGACCATTGCCTGTATTATGTGCACAGTCTCTGACCATCACTTGTATTATGAGCACAGTCTGTGACTATCACCGGTATTAGGTGCACAGTCTCTGACCATCACCTGTATTATGTGCACAGTCTCTGACCATCACCTGTATTATGTGCACAGTCCCTCTGACCATCACATGTATTATGTGCATAGTCTCTGACCATTGCCTGTATTATGTGCACAGTCTCTGACCATCACTTGTATTATGAGCACAGTCTGTGACTATCACCAGTATTATGTGCACAGTCTCTGACCATCACCTGTATTATGTACACAGTCTCTGACCATCACCTGTATTATGTGCACAGTCTCTGACCATCACATGTATTATGTGCATAGTCTCTGACCACCACCTGTATTATGTGCACAGTCTCTGGCCATCACTTGTATTATGTGCAGTCTCTGACCGTCACCTGTATTATGTCCTCAGTCTCTGACCATCACCTGTATTATGTCCTCAGTCTCTGACCATCACCTGTATTATGTCCTCAGTCTCTGTCCATCACCTGTATTATGTCCTCAGTCTCTGACCATCACCTGTATTATGTCCTCAGTCTCTGACCATCACCTGTATTATGTCCTCAGTCTCTGACCATCACCTGTATTATGTCCTCAGTCTCTGACCGTCACCTGTATTATGTGCACAGTCTCTGACCGTCACCTGTATTATGTGCACAGTCTCTGACCATCACTTGTATTATGAGCACAGTCTGTGACTATCACCGGTATTATGTGCACAGTCTCTTACCATCATTTGTATTATGAGCACAGTCTGTGACCATCACCGGTATTATGTACACAGTCTCTGACCATCATTTGTATTATGTGCACAGTCTCTGACCGTCACCTGTATTATGTGCACAGTCTCTGACCATCACCTGTATTATGTCCTCAGTCTCTGACCATCACCTGTATTATGTTGACCAACACTGCCACAGTCAATCATCCCTAGTCCTTGGGAATGAGCAAGATGGCTACATTCCTACAAAACAGTGGGGCAACAAAGGATGAATGTAGCTACCCTCTAAAAGGAAGTTGGATCCCCCAAAAAAATGGAATTTTGAGATTTGGAAGGGGTTATTTAATAGAATTTATAGTTTAGCATCACTTTAAGAATAACTTTTAATCTTATTTGTATTTTGATTTATTCCTCACCTGTGCTGATCTCTGAAGGTATTTCCTCCTCTTTAATCCTCGCATGTCCTTCTTCCTCCTCCTCAGGTTTAACGTCTCTCTGATTGGCTCTGGTGTCTCGGGGTCTGTGAATAAAGAGGAGAGTGAAGCCCCCTGTACTGAGATGTATGAGAGACCCCAGAGAGTGTGTGTGTGTGTGGGGGGAGACTGTCACATCTGTTGGCTGGTAACACACAATGACATGATTTGAGGAGTCTAAAGTTGGCCATACCACGGTTCCTCTTTTTCGTTCTGCCCGTCGAACTGAAAAAAAAAACTGAACCGATTCCCTCATCCACACATTTGCGGTGAATGCAGGCCACATTTTTTTCCACAAATAGAGCTTTCTTTTGGTGGTATTTGATCAAAACTGTTTTTTTTATTTTATATTCTGTAAACGTAAAAAGAGAAAATTTTGAATTACAAAAAATTTTTTTTGTAATTTCTGATATAAAACTTCCAATTAAAAAAAATTAAAAATCTAAATGTCTTCGTAAATTTTGGCCAAAATGTATTCTGCGACATGTCTTTGGTAAAAAAAAATCCGACAATTTTAAGAAAAAAAACTATATTTTGTACATTTTGCTATTAAACATGTCCAGTAAAAAAATTGAAAAAATCTAATTTTGTCATAAATTTACGCCAAAATGTATTCTGCTCCGTGTCTTTAGTAAAAAAAATCTCAGTATGTGTAAATTAATTGGTTTGCATGAAAGTTATAGCGCTTACAAACAATGGTATATATACTGGAATTTTTTTTTTTTTTTTTTTTTACTAGTAATGGTGGACATCAGTGACTTATAATGGGACTGCAATCTGGCACTAATGCTGGGGGGAAACTGACTAAATGCCACTGACATCTTCAGTGACACCAATACAGTGATCAGTACTAATAATAAACACTGTCACTGTAGTAATGACACTGGCTGGGAAGGGGTTAACGTCTATGGGCAATCAAGGGGTTAACTGTGTGCCCAACAATGTTTAGTGTATGTAATGTGTGTTGATTTTACCAAGCAATGTGCTGATTTTTACTGCCTGCTTTGCAGGGAGGGAAAAAAAAAAAAAAAAAGAAAACGGCACATTGCTGATGTCTGAAGAGAGCCCTGTGTTGTTTACCAACACTTTTATTTTATTATTACTATACAGGATTTATATCGCACCAGCAGTTTGCTCAGCGCTTTACAATATAACGGGAGACAATACAGCAACAATACAGTTCAATACAAGAGGGATAGAAGGGCCCTGATCCTGGGAGCTTACAATCTAGGAGGGAGGGGCTAGTGGTACAAGAGGTAGTAACTGTGGGGAATGGACTGGTAGGAAGAGTAGAAGATTCCATTATTCCATTAACACAGGGCTCTCTTTTGTCATTGGCTCTGCCGATCAGCGGGTCCCGGCCATAAATCATTGGCTGCGACCCACTGATCAGCTTGTGCCATAGCGAATGACAGCACAGCCAGGGCGGGTTGGTGCACGCACACAGGCGCCACCTACCCAGATATTGTTGTAGTGACTGAACAAGGAGGATCTGGGACTCTACTCTGGATTTAGTGTTTATTCCTCACCTGGGCCGATCTCTGGAGGGATCTCCTCCTTCTCACATGGGTCATCATTGCTCAGAGGCATCTCTTCATCTTTTACATCAATGTCATTGATCATATCACCCTGAAAAATTCAAAACAACATGATAAAAAACATGACATCTCTTTATAAATTACAAATCTGCCCCTATAAGTCATATAGAGCCAATGTTTGATAAGTCCTACCTGATCCTCCTGATGTTCCTGTGTGGCGTCCTGGGAATACAGAGGACGGGGACATCTCTCTGGTGGGTTCCCATTACTGGATCCATCTACCTGATTTTCCTGAGGGATCTCCTGATGTTCCTGTGTGGAGTCCCGGGAATACAGAGGACGGGGACATCTCTCTGGTGGGTTCCCATTACTGGATCCATCTACCTGATTTTCCTGAGGGATCTCCTGATGTTCCTGTGTGACGTCCCGGGAATACAGAGGACGGGGACATCTCTCTGGTGGGTTCCCATTACTGGATCCATCTACCTGATTGTCCTGAGGGATCTCCTGATGTTCCTGTGTGGCATCCCGGGAATACAGAGGACAGGGACATCTCTCTGGTGGGTTCCCATTACTGGATCCATCTGTAGGAAACACACACACTGACTGAATACATTGCATTACTACCAGGTTACAGCACAAGTCATAAATTCATCCTTTGGCTGCTCTAATGTAGCAGATGCCTGACCCTGACCACTTCTTAACCCCTTGGTGCCGACCACCTCCTGGCTCTTTAAGGGTTCTAAAAGCCAGGCCTTCAGTTCATGTGACCACTGCGATTGGCTGTCACATTATTATTATTATTATACAGGATTTATATAGCACCAACAGTTTGCTCAGCGCTTTACAATATAACGGGAGACAATACAGCAACAATACAGTTCAATACAAGAGGGATAGGAGGGCCCTGCTCCTTGGAGCTTACAATCTAGGAGGGAACACATGATCAGAAAGCTACCGATCAGTGCCGGCCAACGTTCTGGGAACGTGCTCTCAGCACAGTAAGTCGTTTCAACAGGGCCACATATATGCGGCCACTCGGTATTAAGGCCCACATGCCGAATGACCACATATATGCGGCCGCTCAGTGTTAAGGCCCACATGCTGAATGGGCACATATATGCGGTCGCTCAATGTTAAGGTCCACATGCCAAATGGGCACATATATGCGGTCGCTCGGTATTAAGGCCCACGTGCCGAATGACCACATATATGCGGTTAAGGCCCCGTGCTCGGTGTAAGGCCCACATGCCGAATGACCACATATATGCGGCCGCTCGGTGTTAAGGCCCACGTGCCGAATGACCATATATATGAGGCCGCTCGGTGTAAAGGCCCACATGCCGAATGACCACATATATGCGGCCGCTCGGTGTTAAGGTCCACGTGCCGAATGACTACATATATGCGGTTGCTCAGTGTTAAGGCCCACGTGCCGAATGGTACATATATGCGTGCAGCCGGTGTCAACAGGTTAAAGTGGAACTGGGACTATACTCACCTCCACTCCAGCACTGTGGTGTCCCAGAGTTCCCTCACTGGTCGCCGACATCTTCAGCCGGTCTTCTTCCAGATTCCGATCTTTGGCTGAATGCCTGAACCTAGATGATGTCACATGCGATCACATGATCAACATCCGCCATTTTTTCTAAGTCTAAGTCAGAAGATGTGTGTATCTAGGTCAGGGGTAGGCGGCTTTACGGAGGTGGAGAGCTACCTAACCAACATGAGAGAAATCAAAGCTCACCGGGCGCAGCATCGCCTCCTAACACCTCAGTTGCTGTATTGCCATATTGCAATCGCGTGTATTGCATGGTAATCATGGGTTTACATCAGGTGGTGAGGAGGCAACATATCGTCTCCTGTCCCCCCTGTGAAACACACTTGGATTGCTTTTCACAGGAGCAATAGTGCCTTCTGAACTTGTGAATGAACCCCTAGTTGCATTCGGCAGAGGCACCATTAAGGCTCGTTCACATGTAAAGTTGGGGGGTGGTAAAATCCTGCAGTTGAGTCACTTAGCAAATATAGCACCCTCCGAGTAAGGTGCTAGTATAGGTGTTCGTAGGTGAACTTAGTTGTTTTTTGGGCTCCTGTATTCAGGAGTTTTAGTGAGCTTTCAGAAGATGCACCAAACCCACAGCATATAATAGAAGTCTTTGGCTAAGCGCAGCAAACCCGCAGGAAAGCTGCAGGTACACTGGACTGCACCCGCGGTGTGGGTAAACCGCAATGCATCCAGATCCATTCACACCTCAGCGATTTGTAGCTTGAAGCTCCACAACCCTTGAGGAGAAAAAAATTATTCTCACTGGAGATGGTGCACCTCTCCACTTCAAGTCGCCTGAACCTCAAACAAGTTCTGGAGCTTTTTTGGTCACTCAAATTGGGCATATTTGCATGTTTTTAAACGTTTTTAATTCTATAGACATGAAAGGAAATGCGCCATTCACGTGTTTTGTCCAAAAAAAAAAAAAAAAAAGCAATAATATATGAATAAATACATGTAAAATAAAAAAATTACACAAATAAAGATCATCATTAATAAATAAATAATAATTAACCCCTAACCCCTTAACCCTAAAAGGAAATAATAAATAAATTAGCAGTAATAATAATAAAATAATAGTAATACAATAAACTAAACACCCAAACCTGAACAAACACAATAAATTAAACACCCAAACCTGAACAAAAACAATAAATTAAACACCCAAACCTGAACAAAAAAAAAAATAAACACTCAACCTGAACAAAAACAATAAATTAAACACTCAAACCTGAACAAAAACAATAAATTAAACACCCAAACCTGAACAAAAAAAAAAAAATTAAACACCCAAACATGAACAAAAACAATAAAATAAACAACACCCAAACCTGCACAAAAACAATAAATTAAACACCTAAACCTGAACAAAAACAATAAAATCCAAATCTGAACAAAAAAAATAAATTAAACACTCAAACCTGAACAAAAACAATAAATTAAACACCCAAACCTGCACAAAAACAATAAATTAAACACCCAAATCTGAACAAAAACAATAAATTAAACATCCAAACCTGAAACAAAAACAATAAATTAAACACTCAAACCTGAACAAAAACAATAAATTAAACACCCAAACATGAACAAACAAAAATAAATTAAACACTCAAACCTGAACAAAAACAATAAATTAAACACCCAAACATGAACAAACAAAAATAAATTAAACACTCAAACCTGAACAAAAAAATAAAAATTAAACACCCAAACATGAACAAACAACAATAAATTAAACACCCAAACATGAACAAAAACAATAAATTAAATACCCAAACCTGAACAAAAAAAAAAATTCAACACTTAAACCTGAACAAAAACAATAATAAACACCCAAACATGAACAAAAAATAAATAAATTAAACACCCAAATGTGAACAAAAAATAAATAAATTAAAACCCAAACCTTAACAAAAACAATAAATTAAAACCCAAACATGAAACAAAAAAAAAAAAAAAACACCCAAACCAGAACAAAAACAATAAATTAAACACTCAAACCTGAACAAAAAAAAAAAAAAAAACACCCAAACCTGAACAAAAAATAAATAAATTAAACACCCAAACCTGAACAAAAACAATAAATTAAACACCCAAACATGAACAAAAACAATAAATTAAACACCCAAACTGAACAAAAAAAAAAACAAAACACCCAAACCTGAACAAAAAAAAAAATAAATTAAACACTCAAACCTGAACAAAAAAACAATAAATTAAACACCCAAAACCTGAACAAAAAAAAATTAAACACCCAAACCTGAACAAAAAATAAATAAATTAAACACTCAAACCTAAACAAAAACAATAAATTAAACACCCAAACCTGAACAAAAAAAAATTAAACACCCAAACCTGAACAAAAAAAAAAATAATTTAAACACTCAAACCTGAACAAAAAACAATAAATTAAACACCCAAACCTGAACAAAAAAAATTAAACACCCAAACCTGAACAAAAAAAAATTAATTAAACACCCAAACCTGAACAAAAAAATAAATGAAAAATAAAAATAATTTATTATTTTTATTATTAATAATAATAAATATTTGTGTTAGGGTGTTTATTATTATTCTATTATTATTAAAACCAATTTATTTACACTTTTTATGAGTTAGGAGGTTAAGGTTAGGGGTGAATTATTTTTTAGTTATTACATATTACTCATTTATTGTATTTATGTTTATTTTTATTTATGTATTTTTTTACATTTATTTATTCACTTATTATTATTATTAGTAGTAGTATTAACACTAACAAAATAAAATAACTAAACAATAAAATATTAACGCCTAAACCAAATCCTAATCCTAACCTAACCTAACCTTAACTCTAACCCCTTACCCTAACAAACAAACAAACAAATAAATAAATAATTTAAAAAAAAAATGAAATAAAAGCTGATGAAAAAGCTGAAAATCCGAGCAACAAATGATGCAACAGATGATATTTTTCTTTATAGGCTAATAAAAAATGCCTGAGAAACGCTGTATGAAAAACACGCGAAAAAAGCTCATATTCACTATGCACAAGTGTGCGTACAGCCCTACGCTTTTATGCCCAGTGGGCGTGGTCTACTGGTAGATGGCGATCCCCGGGTTGCTGACCCCCCAGTCTAGATGGATCCTCAATGAAAGAAATGAAAGTCACCTCTTACCCGGTGATGTGAGGGTCGGCCGGTGCTCCATCATGACCCCTCGTACAGATCCTTGCGTCCTTCCAAGTTCTAAAAACTGAATACTCGATCAGCTAGAAGTCTCCTCCGCACGCTCACTTTCTTTACACCGCTGTAAAAACAATAATTATTATTCTAATTATACAGCAAATGATTCTCCTCCTCTGGAATAGATGTATTTCTATACGATGCAGATTTCCAGAGAATACGCCTCCCGCGCCATTTGTCGTGAGCCCAGCAGAGCAGCCCCCCATCCAATATTCCCCCCATCAGAGGAGTTGCAGGAAGATGAGGATGTGTGGAGGTGACATGACCCCCCATCCAGTCCACACACAGAGTGCTGGGACCCCCTTCTCTCATAATAAGAAGACAATATTACCTCCTCCTCCCTGGACACACTTTCCAGTCTGGCAAACCACTGGAGGATTCTGGCGCCACTGAAATTTCTCCTCTGTATCTACAATAGGCTACAAGAAAATGGCCGCTCCCTCCCTTGCACTGAGGACATTTTTCCTGTCACACGGGCGCCCTCTAGTGTTGGCTCTAAGTACAAACGGCTCTCTGCCTCTGGAATGCATTCCACTCCAGAGTTTATTATTTGACTTTAATTATCATTTATTGATACACTCTGATGTCCAATGACAGCTATAGTACACTATAATGTATTTTTATATTATTGTGTTTGTCATAGTAGTCAGATAGAAGGTGGGAGGAAATGTCTAATAGTTTGCTACGAGAAACGCCTCAGGTTTCATGCCTCCCTCAGAATATATACGATCCTTGTCTGGGACTATGGAAATGTTACTACTAGTGGTGCGCCAAAATGAAAATTCTGGTGCTGAACCTGAAAATCCAGGATGCACCAAAACCGAAATGGACAGTTTTTAAATATATATTTTTTGAACGCTATTTTTTTGGGAAAAAATATGATTAAAAAATAAAAACACAATATATACCCCAATGTATTTGTAAAATATGAAAGATGATGTTACGCAGAGTAAATAGATACCCAACATGTCATGCTTTAAAATTGTACAGGCTGGTGGAATGGCGACAAACTATGGTACTTAAAAATCTCCATGAGTGACGCTTTACAACTTTTTAGAGGTTACCAGTTTAGAGTTACAGAGGAGGTCTAGAGCTAGAATTGTTGCTCTCGCTATAACATTCATAGTGATATCTTATGTGTGTGGTGCAAACACATATACATAGTCTGGCTGAAAAAAGACAAAAGTCCATCCAGTTCAACCATTAAAAAAAAAATTATAATCCTACACCCACAGTTGATCCAGAGGAAGGCAAAAAACCCAGCAAAGCATGATACAATTTGCTCCTGCAGGGGAAAAAATTCCTTCCTGATCCCCCGAGAGGCAATCAGATATTCCCTGGATCAACTTTATATATAAATGTTATATCCAGTTATATTCTGTGTATCCAAGAAAGAATCCAGAACTTTCCTACAGCAATCCACTGAGCTGGCCACAACCAACTCTTGAGGGACTCTATTCCATATTTTCACAGCTCTCACTGTGAAGAAACCTTTCCATGTTTGGAGATTACATTTCTTTTCCTCCAGACGTAAAGAGTGCCCCCTTATCCTCTGTGATGAACTCAGGGTGAATAACTGACACCCCGAGACCATTCAGAGAATGAATCATTAACCGCTACTCTCTGAATACCATCTTTTAGCCAGTTTTCTATCCATTTAAATACAGATTTTTCCAGCCTGTAGACTTAACCTTACACATTAGCCGTGTGGGGAACTGTGTCAAATGTTTTTGCAAAATCCAAGTATACCACAACCACCGCCACCCCTCTGTCCATGTATGCCACATCCACAGCCACCCCTCTGTCCAAGTATACCAAATCCACCGCCACCCTTCTGTCCAAGTATACCACGTCCACAGCCACCCTTCTGTCCAAGTATACCACGTCCACCCCTCTGTCCAAGTATACCACGTCCACAGCCACCCTTCTGTCCACGTATACCACGTCCACCCCTTTGTCCAAGTATACCATGTCCACCGCCACCCCTCTGTTCAAGTATACCACGTCCACAGCCACCCTTCTGTCCAAGTATACCACGTCCACCCCTCTGTCCAAGTATACCACGTCCACAGCCACCCTTCTGTCCACGTATACCACGTCCACCCCTTTGTCCAAGTATACCATGTCCACCGCCACCCCTCTGTTCAAGTATACCACGTCCACAGCCACCCTTCTGTCCAAGTATACCACGTCCACCCCTTTGTCCAAATATACCACGTCCACCACCACCCCTCTGTCCAAGTATACCACGTCCACCCCACCCCTTTGTCCAAGTATACCACGTCCACTGCCACCCCACTGTTCAAGTATACCACGTCCACAGCCACCCTTCTGTCCAAGTATACCACATCCACCCCTCTGTCCAAGTATACCACATCCACCCCTCTGTCCAAGTATACCATGTCCACAGCCACCCCTCTGTCCAAGTATACCACATCCACTGCCACCCCTCTGTCCAAGTATACCACGTCCACAGCCACCCCTCTGTCCAAGTTTACCACGTCCACAGCCACCCCTCTGTCCAAGTATAACACGTCCACCCCCACCCCTGTCCAAGTATACCATGTCCATCCCCCACCCCTCTGTTCAAGTATACCACGTCCTTCATGAATCCATGCTGCCTGTTGCTTAAATATTTTTTTCCAGCAAGAACTCCTCTATGTGGTCGTTTATTAAACTCTCCAGTATCTTCCCAACTATAGAAGTTACACTAACAGGTCTATAATTACTTGGTAAAGATTTTGACCCCTTTTTAAATATTGGCACCACATTGGCCTTACACCAATCCAGTGGTACTATGCCAGTCATTAAAGAGTCCCTAAAAATGAGAAACAATGGCTTTGAAATGACAGAGCTCAATTCTTTAAGGCCCCGTGGGTGTATGCCATCCGGTCCAGGGGCTTTATTCATCTTTATTCTAAATATTTGTGGATCATATCAATTGTGAGCCAATGTGGATCATCTGGAGCTGTGTCAGTACCACGCCCATTATGGACAAGAGCCCCTCATGCTCCTTTGTATACACAGAGCTGAAGAAGGGATTTAATAAAATTGCCTTCTCTTTGTCCCCAGTCACCCACTCTAGATGATTCTGTAAAGGGCCTACATGCTCGGACCGGACCTTTTTCTACTATTAATATATTTGAAGAATTTTTGGGGATTTGTCCTATCTTTTACAATCTGTCGTTCGTTTTAAATTTTTGCGTCCTTTATTTCCTTTTTGCATATTTTGTTATACTCTTTGTAATGTTTAAACAATGATAGTGTTCCTTCATTTTTATACTTAATAAAGGGTCTTTTCTTATTATCTATAGCTTTTTTTAACTTTGGCCGTAAACCACATAGGTTTGATTTTTAGCCTTTTAAACTTGTTGCCCATGGTTTACATATGTGGGTGTGACCTATGTATGCGTGAGCACTGGGTGACAAGGGTGCTTTAAATTCTTTTTTTTTTATTTTATTAAATTTTTTTTTATTTTTACACTTTTTAAATTTTTTTTAATCACTTTTTATTGTTATTGTAAACATCTCTTGCGACAACAATAAAGCATGACAGGTCTTCATTATGGAGAGATCTGGGATCTCTAAGGCCCCACATCTCTTCTCTACAATCAAAAGCATCAGATCAAAAAAACAAAAATCGATCTAATGCTTTCCTCCTTTTACATCGGGCCGGAACCAGAAGTGATGTTATGACGTTGCTTCGGTCCTCCTAAGCCATAGAGATGAGCAAATGCCATCTTTCCTCTGCTCATCTCTGTGGCCAGCCACCAGCACCAGATCGGTTCTCAGGCTCACTGATCATCCAGGTAAGCCTGCGAACCACCGGAATGCAGCAAGAGGGTGGGGCAACCCCTGCCCCAGCCAAAGTGATCCAGTGGCTATTTAGCTGGATCACTTTTAGCAGAAAGAGGGGCGCCTGAGGAAAATTTCAATACTGAGGTTGACATCTAGCTGCAGCCATAACCCCGATATTAAAAGGTCAATCTAATTGCGTATTTTCCCAGTTACGTGGTCGGCAAGTGGCTACCCTCATTAAAAAAGAAATCCCTGTAGGTAAGCCATGTTGCCTGTATGCTTTTGTTTCAACTCTTTGGCATGTTAAAGACCATGTATAGTTCTTTTTAGGAAAGGAAAATTAAACATGTATATTTTAATTAGGTAGAGAATAAATATGATGCTGAAAAAGACTCTCCTGCCCACGTCTAAACTTGGGACATGACTAGATGATGTCGTTGATGCTGACCACATTGCCCACTCATAGATAGTGACGGGTAATCCAGTAGTTACTGGTCTGATGGGCATCTTTGATATGGAGGACAGCCAGCAGTGTTTGGAAAACTAACTTTGGTATTATGGAAAGATGGACACACTATATATTCACATTCCTTTATTCCACAGGTTCCAAAAGAATTTTTGTTTACTGTAAATTAATAGATTGGGAAATCATACTCATGTCTCCAAAAAAAAATAGATTGTAAGAATAAAAATTACAATATTACAGACCTCGCAGGCCAAGGTTCGGTAAATTCTTCCAAAACCTACCATGCCCCAACATGGACACAGACAACTTTCAATCAAAATTCTTGTTTAATGTTTGCCCAATAATAAATGGTGAAATGTGATTGGTTACAACTCCAGGCCTCTGCGAAGACAGTGACTGGTCACATGAATGCCCAGCCCACTTGGAATGGATACAGACTTGCAACAGGCAATTTCAAACTGGGCATCAATGAAAGAGGTGTGATCATTGGGGCAGCCCTGAGCCTGGCAGATAGCAGACAAAAGTTTTCAGGATATGAGTGTGCAGCTCCTGCAATATATAAGAGCCCAGGAGCAGAATGTGAAAGTGTGTGCATACCGAAGCTGACCACCTCCCAGAGCCGCGCATAATCAACATCGCAGCTGTAAATTGCATGCTTCCCTGCCAGCCATGTGTGCTGTAATTCAGCTGAACCTGCTGGTCACAGTCAGCTTCTGAGCATTTTCAACACAAATCTGTGCTGATCAAGAAGCTCCACTGCCCCCTTCAGCTCCAGATAGGACTCCTTCCTGCAACTGGGGATCCACTGAAGGCCACAGGCTTAGACTTGAGGCATCAGCAGCTTATACACCAAGGTCAGGGGTAGGCAACCTGCGGCTCTCTAGCTGTTGTGGAACTACATTTCCCATGAAGCATTGCAAAGATTACAAAACTGAGTTACAGCTATGACTTGCAGAGGCATGATGGAACTTGTAGTCCTGCGGCTCTCAGGTTGCCTACCCCTGACCAAGGCCCTCCATGACACAGAGATCCACACTGTACTGCACTTAGGCTGGTCCCCAGAATGAGGGAGAGGCCACAAGGCTCCGTCCAGTCAACTGCTGCTCTGTATTAGTATGGAAGCTGAAGCCTGGTGTGTATCACTTTGAGGGACAGTCAGGTACCCAGGCCAGCCAGAACTGGCCAGAAAGACCTCCGCATGTCCACCCTGACTCCAGGAATGCATAACTGTGCACTCTTGCTGATCCTTGGCCCCCATCTGCTCCATCAGCTAAAGTCTAGGGCCCGGACGGAGGACGGCAAATTTTCCATGCTTCAATCCAAACTCCTTTTTTTTACAGTCTTGGAAAGATTGAAGAATTAGATCAGGGGTGCTCAACCTGTGGCCCACAAGGCACATGTAGCTCTCTACTGTGTGGCTCTCAACCTCAAACCAGGGAAGTGCACTTCTATTATATCCTGCAGGATTGGTGCACGTTCTGAAAAGGCACCAAAACTCCTAAATGTAGGGGTTTTGATGCACTTTCAGAAAAACACCACACCTGCACGATATAACAGAAGTCTTTGGCAAAGCGCAGCTAACCTGCAGGAAAGCTACAAGTGCATTGTGCTGCACCTGCATTGAGGGAAAACCGCAGCGCATCAGAGTAAAAGCAGCCTTATACGGGGCTAAGGACTGTACATTTGCAGTTTGCGAGGGAGTTAAAACCCCATAGTTGAGATGTTTTACCCCCCCCCAACCACTGGTGTACCTTCAAGGGGTGGAATGGTGACCCTTCCCTATGCTCCAGGGGGCTGTGTGGCCTCCAAGCCCCATTCTGTTTTACACTGACAACAGAGGTGGTCCTCTCTGTTTTTCTCCTGAAACTGCTGAGAGCTGGCTTCTCCTCCTCTCCCTCCTACCAGCATTCAGCAGCTGCAAGAAGAAAATGTTATGTTATTAAAAATAGAAATTTCTGAAGCCTTTTCATTCCATTGTGGCCCGCAAACGGTTACCAAGTCAACTAAGCTGCCCTGGCTCTTCAAAAGGTTGAGCCCCCCGAATCAGATCCTCTGTCGGGTTTTAAATGCTGGGTCCCATTTGAGATTTTCCCCCACTTCCTGTTCTATGTGACTCCTGTCATCTAGACAGGAAATGAGGGAAAGCTCCTTCTTAGGGACACAACAGAAGTAATCCTGACAGAGATTCTAAACCTTACTGCTTGGATTAGTGTATTTATTTTTTATTGCTATGTCCCTGTTGGGGGGATTTCCTCATACTTCCTGTTCTGCCTTATACCTGTCAAATAAGACAGGAAGCACTCACTGGTTCCTCCTTCTTATCTATATACCCATATCAAGATAAAGTAGTGACATGGAGGTCAGAGGGAGGGACCATTGAGAGCTATAGGGGACCCAGGACAGGGACACTTCCAGAAGTTCTGCCTACCTGTGGTCACTAAGCGGAATGTTAGCATTTCCTGTAGCTGGAACATGACTATGATTTTGCCCCATGTGGGTCAGCTGGTGTGAGATGAGAGTTCCTCTGTGGATAAAACTCTGCTTGCATTCTGAACACGAGTAAGGATGGACACGTTTGTGGACCTTTTCATGCCTAACCAGATCGATTTTCTGGGTAAACCGTCTCCCACACTCAACACATGAATATGGTTGAACACCAGTGTGGACTCTCTCATGCCTAATCAGATTTGATCTTTGTGTAAACCCTTTTCCACACTCTGAACAGGAATACGGGCGATCGCCAGTGTGAATAATCTGATGTATGGCAAGATATGACCTATCCGTAAAACATTTCCCGCACACTGAGCACGAATAGGGTTTAACTCCAGTATGAGCTGCCTGATGTGAAATAAGATACCGCCTCTCGGTAAAACATTTCCCACAATCAGAACATGCGTATGGCTGGACGCCTGTGTGGCCTCGCTCGTGTTTAGTCAGGGATGATTTGTCTGTAAAGTATCTCCCACACTCGGAACACGAATATGGGCTTTCGCCAGTGTGAACTCTCACATGTTTGACAAGATACGATTTGTCAGTAAAACATTTTCCACATTCTGAACACGAATGCGGCTTCAACCCCGTGTGAGCCGACTGGTGGGAAATAAGATATCGTTTCTCGGAAAAACATTTCCCGCATTCAGTGCAGGAAAATGGCTTCTCTCCTGTGTGGCATCTCTGGTGCCTGATGAGATGGTTTTTTTGAGAAAAGCATTTCCCGCATTCAGGGCATGAAAACGGTTTGTCCCCCGAGTGAGTCCTCTGGTGCAAAATAAGATTCCCTCTCTGAGTATAAGACTTTCCGCATTCCACACATGAAAAGGGCTTTTCAGCCATGTGAGTCTTCTCATGATGGATAAGGTGTGATCTATCAGCAAAACATTTTCCGCACTCTGGACAGGAATATGGCTTCTCTCCCGTGTGCACACGCTGGTGTGTGATCAGGGCTGTTTTCCGGGAGAAACATTTTCCGCATTCGGAACATGAAAACGGCTTCAGTCCCGTGTGAGTTCTCTGGTGCATGAGTACAGCTGACTTTTGCTTGAAGCATTTCCCACATTCGGGGCATGAGAACGGCTTCTCTCCAGTGTGAGTCCTCTCATGTAAAAGAAGATGTGCAGACAAAGAAAAACACTTCCCGCATTCAGAACATGGATATGGCTTCTCCCCTGTGTGAACTCTTTTGTGTGTGATAAGTGAGGACTTCTGTGTAAAACATTTCCGACATTTGGAACATGAATATGGCTTCTCCCCGGTGTGAATTCTCTGGTGCTTAGCAAGAACCCTCTTGGAGGAAAATTGCTTCCCACACTCAGAACAGGAATAAGGCTTCTCTGCTGTGTGGGTTCCCTGGTGTGACGTGAGGCCTGCTAATGCCGTAAAACCTTCCCCACATTCAGAATAAAAAGAACTTTTCACCCCCTATAACAGCTGTATGATCAGTAATGGATGGCAGGTGATCAGGAAGACTCTGCCCGTGACCAGAGGGATCAGATGATGGATCTGTCCTATAAGCTATTAGACACAGATTTGGGCTAATAAGGTTTCCTTCTGAAGAATCAGATGTGATGTCCTCATCTTCTATTACATCATCTGGAGAGATCCAGGTACATTTCACTGTGTTGCACCATCTGTATTGTTTGTCTGCATGAAAAAAAGAACAACGGGAACAAGAATGTTTTGAACACCTGGCCTATATATACAGGATCATTTCTCAAATTTAGCTGCTGGAGTCATTAAAGTGGTTCTAAAGGCTCAAGGTTTTTTACCTACATGCATTCTATGCACAAAGGTAAAGAACCTTCTGTGTGCAGTAGCCCCCCTAACACTTACCTAAGCCTCATCCCAATCCAGCAATGTCCATGAGAGCCTCCATTCTCCAGGAACTCTCACTGCTGATTTGCTGAGGCAACAGCAGGAGCTAAACAAGAGAGGGATGTGGCGGGGCTGAGCCATGGCTCCGTGTGTGAATGGACACGCAGAGCTGCGGCTTTGGAGCGTTGCACCCGACAGGAGGGAGCGGCAAGGAACGCCGGCGGGGGGGGGGGGCCCAAAAAGAGGAGGATCCGGGCTGCTCTGTGCAAACTGCACAGTGCAGGTAAGTATAGCATGTTTGTTATTAAAAAAAAAAACAAGACTTTAGCCTCACCACTCAGGTTTTTTTTATTTACCTTAAAGCAGAGTTCCAGTCAGTTTTGTGTTTATTAAACGTCAGCAGCTACAAAAACTGTATCTGCTGATTTTTAATACACACTCATCTGTCCCAGGGTCCAGTGATGTACTCACCCACGCCGCCCTTTCTCTGCCTCTTCTCTCCCCGGCACCAGCATCTCAACTGTGGGCACCAGGCTGTGACAGCTTGCGCCTTCACAGCCGGGTGCCCACTGCACAGGCGCGAGTCGCACTGTGCATTCTCATTGGTCTGGCAGTCTTCTGGGACCTGTCAAGGTTCCCAGGAGACAGCAGGAGGACGGAGGGTGGCCGAACTTCTGCTTCACTTCACCATGGCAAACTGAGCCAGAAGTGGGAGTGGGTACCTGTCAAAAACAGGTATCCGCTCCCCCCTCCCCCGCAAAAGGTGCCAAATATGGTAGTGGAGGGGAGGAGGAGGAAAATAAGTGGAGCTTCCGCTTTTGAGTGGAACTCCGCTTTAATTCATTCCATGCATTCAGTTCAAAAACATTCTATTGCAGCGGATCTCCCCAGCCCCCTCTTATACTTATCTGAACCCAATCTTGATCCAGTGCTGTGCATGAGAAAAGCGGCTCTCCTGCCTCTCTCCCTCCTCAACGGGAAGAGCCATTGGCTCCCGCCAATCACATCCTATGACTAGAGAGTTGGAGGCGGCGCTGAGCCCGCTGTCTTTGTCAAGCCCGTTTTATATAGAAAACTCACCTGTGCTGATCTCTGGAGGAATTTCCTCCTCCTCCTCACATGGCTCATTACCCCTCACACGTGGCTCTTCTGTTTCCACTTTCACTTCAACTTTAACTCTGATCACGTTATCCTGAAAAACACAAAGAAAACCAAATATTATATTATGAGACTAAATAGAATATTTTCGATCCACCGGACTCGTTAATATTCCCCAACTCAACCTTTTCAACTTAATGTACAATGTGTGTTGTACATTGGAAATCTTAGTTATCACCAGAACAAGTTTCCCCATTTGAAGAGTCCTCTTCCAATTTCATCTCTTTCAATCCAGATAACAATGGTCATTAGTAAAGTGAGGTGGGGACACAGACAGCAATAAACACCTGACTGGGGTTCTTACGCATTCACACTCTATCCAAAGTTTTAAAACAATTGAATTTAGATAAACTTTGAGGACACCATAAACAATGGGGGGGGGGGGGGGTTAGTTGGAAGTCCAAGCAGTATCCAACCTCCCTGGTGGTGCACTTCAAAAGTCTTGTAGGTCCCTACACACAATTGGAATGGCATTGTGTTCAGCCTATGTAATGAGGAAGGAGGGAAGCTGTAGACATCTCCTTCAGCACATGGGCATACATTTCATACTATTCAGTAATTTCTATTGACATCCCCTAGACATCAGGCTGAGAAAGGCTTTTGTGAATAACCTACTCTGAGAAGGTAAAATCATGAAAATCGTTGCTGAAGACTGAAATGTGTCTCCATTGGATATATCAATCTATTAGAAGTGAAAAAAAAATCACAAAAAAAACAACAAAAAACACAATGATAATAGTATTGTCATTATTGTGCAAAAATGATGGATCACCAGACATGAATTAATGACAGAAAAAAAAAATTGCAAAACCCACCAGAAATATACTACATTTGACACTTAGTAAGGCCCCTTTCACACGAGCGGACCGAACAGGTTCAGCTGCCCGTATTTCAAGCAGACTCGATCAGATACTCCATTGCTCTAGAAGGAGCGGCGGGTGTAAACGGACATGTGTTCATCTACACCCACCTACATCCGATCTAATCCTATCCACTAAAAACCGACGGATGGGGATGTTCCCCATCTGTCTGGTGGATGGGATAACAGTCAGATGGCAACAGACAGGTGGTCCGTTTCCATCCCATAAAGGACATCGGGCTGCGTCCGTGTCCACTCTGCATAAGCAGAGCGGACACAGACCTGTCATCCACTTGTTCAGCGGGGATCAGCAGGCAGATCCCCCCCATAGGCAAGCAGATAAGCTGACGGGTCCGCCACGTGTGAGAGGGACCTAAGAGCCCGAGCCACCAGTTCTTGTTTTTCTAAATTCTCCTTTCTGTATTATTTCAAAAACTTTAGTCCCATCTACCTCCTGAAGGATCTCCTGATCTTCCTGTGTGGAGTCCCGGGAATACAGAGGATGGGGACATCTCTCTGGGGGATTTTTGTCACTGGATCCATCTGTAGGATAAACACACCAAGTGTCAAACACAATATGGCCACAAGTATGTGCACACCACTACAAATGTATGAGTTCGGGTGTTTCCAGTGAAGGAGCCTGTTAATTCTACACCCTAATAAGATTTACAGTATGAAAACAATTCCCACCTTCAGCTATGTGAATCACAGGATTATACCCGGACTCCCTGACACCAAGGATTGACTATGTAACTAGAAGAGGGTGGTGCCAAGCCTTTCATACCTCCCGTCCTGTTCTTCGACAAACATGCCTTGGCACATTCCTTGGTGATTGGATTAGGCTGTCTGTGCTACCTGTGTGGTGGATATAAGGGCTCATTTACACTTGGCATCAGGCAGATTTTTTTTTTTTTTGGGGGGGGGGGGGGGGGGGCAATAAAAATAGGTGGCTGAGCCATGGTTTTACTGCTCCCCTTAAAGCGGAACTAAACCCATCAATTTACCTGTTTCTCACTTAAATACAAGGCATGCAGTGAATGATAACTGTCAAAGTTGCTTGTGCTCTCAACCAAACTGTAAAGCCATATCTATCATAACTGATCACATATGCAGCACCAGGGCAACTACAGATCACACAGAGACTAGGATGGCAGCTTCATTGACTGTAAAAGATAGGAGGTGTTAGTTCTGCTTTAAGCTGCAAAGGCAGCTGGCTGGGGGTTGAATACATGCTGAGGGAAAAAAAAAATTATACCACTTGTTATGTTCAGCAGGCAGTACTGTTGCCAAACACAACCCATTCAAGCAAATGGGGCCGCGCCAGAACTGGCCTGCAATTGTGTGTAATATGTGCAGTTCTGGAACAATGTTAAATCAGGTAGTGAAGAGGAAACATATAGATTCACTGTCCAAAAAGGCTGAGAGTCTGGTGCACAGGACACTGGCCATAGACTGAATTAAATTTGGCAGGTTCAGCAGACACCAGACAAATTTTAATCAGTGCCTGGCTGCACTTGCTCGACAGGGGTTGATCGTTTGATCAACTTCTATGAAAGGGACATGCTAGAAATATTGTGGTGAGTCCCAGTGGAGGATTCCTCCATCCACCTTGTTTGCGTGGGCTGGATAAAAAAAACAAATGACCAGTCTATGGCCAGCTTAGTTATACTGAAAAGACTCCGACAACATGAACTCATGTGACTGAAATTTTGTTAGTCAAAACAATAGCTGTTATTGTATTTGGATGCCTTTTTTCAGACCAAAACCAACTGAGTTTTTTGTTGAAGGAAATTTCTAATACTAGAGAATGGGAAATAGAAACAAGAAGCTATAAAATGTAATCGGAGCAAAGGCCAACCATGAGTGTCTTCTATATTTATTGTTTTACCTGTGCTGATCTTTATAGGCACCTCCTCCTCTTTAATCTTGGCATGATCTTCTTCCTCCTCCTCAGGTTTGATGTTTCTCTGAGTGTCTCCAGGGTCTGTGAATAAAGATGAGAGTGAAGCCCCCTGTACTGAGATGTATGAGAGACCCCAGAGAGTGTGTGTGGGGGGAGACTGATCACGTCTCAATGACATGATGTGAGCAGGAGAGCCGGAGTCTAATAGAGGTTGATGGCTCCTGACCCCCCACTGGGCACATACTGTCCCCCCATTACTGTCTACTGACAGAGGAGGGGGGAGAAGAAGAGATTGCTGTAGTGACTGAACAAGGAGGGTCCGGGACTCTTGTCTGGATTTAGTGTTTATTCCTCACCTGGGCTGATCTCTGGAGGGATCTCCTCCTCCTTACATGGCTCATAGCCAAATTCTAACAGAGGCTGATGGCTCCTGACCCCCACTGGGCACATACTGTCCCCGTATTACTGTCTACTGACAGAGGAGGGGGGAGAAGAAGAGATAGTTGTAGTGACTGAACAAGGAGGATCTGGGACTCTTCTCTGGATTTAGTGTTTATTCCTCACCTGTGCTGATCTCTGGAGGCATCTCCTCCTCCTTATAAAGATCATCACCCATCACATATGGCTCTTCTTTAACTTCAACTTTAATTGGACTTTCACTCTTAAAATGCAAAAAGAGCCATTATATTTATTATGCAGGAGCCACTTAGTAAAAGTTAAAATTATCTAATGTATTGCTAAGAGTTTATTCCCATTACCTGATCCTTCTGAGGGATCTCCTGATGTTCCTGTGTGGAGTCCTGGGAATGCAGAGGACGGGGACATCTCTCTGGGGGATTTCCGTTACTGGATCCAACTGTAGGAAAACACACACACTGACTGAATAGATTACATGATTATCAGGTTACAGTACAAGTCATAAATTCATTCTTTGGCTGTGATTAAGGCTTATTACCGAAACGCGTAAGCCATTTTTATCTGTACACTCTACTCACTTAATTATATGGAAGGACGAGTTGTCAGCTCTTCATCTGTAGGAAAACACACACACTGACTGAATACAATGTGTCTATGTCTTTATATCGGAGGATGTGTGTATCTAGGTGGATCCTCAATACTCTCCTTTATAAGAAATGAAAGATTCCTCCTACCTGGAGGTGTGAGGGACAGCCGGTGCTCTATCATGATGTCCTTCAATAAGTCCTTGTGTCTGTTCTTCTACCCAGTTTGATGCCAGTGGGTGTCCCTTGAGGAAGAAGGTGTGGCTAGGAACCAAAGCCCACCTCTTGTCTCTGTGCAATACAAATATAACATTTATTATAGCTAGAAACAATGGGGATTCTTTAAGAGGAAATTATTACCTTCATTTTTGACTTTTTTTGTTGTTATTCTCTTGAAATCACACATATCTCCCATCAATGATATTCAAAAATCTTAAAGCAGAAGTAAAGCTTAAAAAAAAAAACAACATTTCCAACAGGTACAGTGAAGGAAATGCGAATTTGATCCCCTGCTGATTTTGAATGTTTGCCCACTCACAAAGAAATAATCGGTCTAAAAATTGAATGGTAGGTGTATTGTAACACTGAGAGACAGAATAGCAACAAAAAATTCAAAAGAAATGCATGTCTAACAAATGATGACTGATTTGTATGTTCACAAGGGAAATAAGTATTTGATCCCCTTCACAAAACATGACTTAGCACTTGGTGGCAAATCCCTTGTTGGCAATCACAGAGGTCAGACGTTTCCTGTAATTGGCCTCCAGGTTTGCACACATCTCAGGAGGGATTTTGGCCCACTCCTCTTGGCAGATCCTCTCCAGGTCATTAAGGTTTGGTGGCTGACATTTAGCAACTCGAACTTTCAGCTCGCTCCACATATTTTCAATTGGATTAAGACTGGCTAGGCTACTCCAGGACCTTAATGTGCTTCTTCTTGAGCCACTCCTTTGTTTTGGTGGTGGGTCAGTGATGGTCTGGGGAGGCATATCCATAGAGGGACGCACAGACCTCTACAGGCTGTACAATGGCACACTGACTGCCATTAGGTATTGGGATGAAATCCTTGGACCCATTGTCAGACCCTACGCTGGTGCAGTGGGTCCTGAGTTCCTCCTATTGCACGACAATGCCCGGCCTCATGTAGTGAGAGTATGCAGGCAGTTCCTGGAGGATGAAGGAATTGATACCATTGAATGGCCCCCATGCTCCCCTGACCTAAATCCAATAGAACACCTCGGGATATCATGTTTTGGTCCATCCGATGCAGCCAGGTTGCACTTCAGACTATCCAGGAGCTCAGTGATGTCCTGGTCCAGATCTGGGAGGAAATCCCCCAAGACACCATCTGTGGTCTCATTAGGAGCCTCCCCCGATGTTGTCAGGCATGCATACAAGCACGTGGGGGCCATACAAACTACTGAGGACCATTCTGAGTTGCTGCAATGACATTTCAGCAAAATGGACTCGCCTTCTGCATCATTTTTCACTTTGATTTTTGGGGTGTCTTTGAATTCAGTCCTCTGTAGGTCGATCGTTTTCATTTCCATCAAACGATGGGGCATCCTTACGTTCCTAACACATTACCCAGTCCATATCAGTATAGATATCCAGCAAGATATTTTCCCCATTGACATCTGATGTGTTTTCAAAGTTCCTGTCATTTTTTGAGAAGTTACATAATCAGTACTCTCCCAATGGGTGAAGAAAGATGGAAAACCTGGCAGAAGATGGAAAAAAAAGGCATCGGCAGGAATGGAGTAAATGTGGGAAGCTCTGACCTTGCATCCCTCAAAGACAGCAAGCCCATCCAGAGGTGTAAATGTTTATGCAAATAATGACTTTTAAAAGTCAATAGTTCTGTGTGTTTAGATACCCTGCTCCTCCCCCTCCCCCACATCATGTAACAGTGCTTGAAACTAGTGAATGCCTTCTGCTCATTCTTCCATACCTAGAAGTTTGAGTGTTGTCTATGGCAGTAATTCACAACCACCGTGTCCTCACTCGTCCTGGGCATCCAGCCAGATGCAGATCCCTTAACCCCACACAGTGCCTCCTAGCTCACATAGTGCCCCCCAACCTCTCATAGTGGCCCACAGTGCCCTCTGAGGGCCCTAAGCCTCCACAGTGCGACATAGCCTGGAGAAATCCCCAGCCCCATGGAAGGTTTCAAAAGAATTAATTTACTGGGCCCTGATCTCAGAGAACCACTGCTCTATGGCGCTCAAGAAAGAGGCAACAACATATTCTGAGATCCTCTATACAAGACTTTAGAGCATCCGAAAGTGATAGGTGGACCTTGGTGGCTTGGACACTCAGCAATGAGATTTCCCTGCCATAACTGCCAACTCTCTGTCCTCCTGGGGGCTTTAGTTGTTCTTGTCCATCTTTATGTGTTCTGGCTCCTCCTGTTACATTCCCCATAATATACCAGCATGGATGGTGAGAGCCCCTCATATGGGCAGAGCAGGTGTCGAGACCTGAGAACTGTGGGCAGAGATCTCACTGACAAACAGAAGAGACTGTCAAGCGGTTTAAATCTCCAGAGTCTACCAAACCATAAAATATAAGTTCTAGGTGGACTGATTCTACACCGATCAGTCACAACATTATGACCAATGGCAAGTAAAGTGAATAACATTGATTATTTCATTACATCGGCAGATTTGAGGGCCAAACTTTTAATGGTTGGATGACTGGATTAGAGAATCTCCAAACTGCATTTCTTGTGGGATGTTCCCGGTCTGCAGTGATCAGGACCAACCAAAAGTGTGCTGAGGAGGGAAAACTGGTGAAACGGTGACAAGGTCATGGGCGCCAAGACTCATTGATGCACACGGGGAGCAAAGGCTGGCCTGTGTAGTCCGATCCAATAAAAGAGTCAGTGTGGTGCAAATTGAAGCTCTGATTTCAAAGCTATTGACAAAGTAGTTCTTCAGCAGTTCAGGTCAGGATTAGATCAGGTTCAGGACAGGATTAGATCAGGTTCAGGATGGGTTTAGATCAGGTTCAGGATGGGTTTAGATCAGGTTCAGGGTAGGTTTAGATCAGGTTCAGGGCGGGATTAGATCATGTCCAGGGTGGGTTTAGATAAGGTTCAGGATGGGTTTAGATCAGGTTCAGGGCAAGATTACTATTATTATTATAGAGGATTTACAAAGCACCAACAGTTTGCTCAGTGCTTTACAATATAAAGGGAGACAATACAGCAATGGTATAGTTAAATGCAAGAGAGATAGGAGGGCCCTGCTCCTTGGAGTTTACAATCTAATAGGATTAGATCAAGTTCAGGACAGGATTAGATCAGGATCAAGTCAGGATTTTATCCTGTTCACAACTGATGACATTTGTGATTCAAAAGCGTTCCCATAGAAGTCAATGAGCCTGAGTTCGCACCTGAGCCAGACTGCACTGCTCAGAAAACTGAAAGGACTCTTTTTCAATTTGCTCTGAATCTGCACTCTAGTTGCGCTGCATGCATGTGGACAGGCACAATAGAAACCAATGTTATTTCTCATGCGAATTGCATGGGGTTCAATCACATAAATGTGAACCGGCTCTTACTATAGCTCAAACTGATGAAAACATAATGCTGGTTCTGATAGGAAGGTGACAGAGCATCAGTTTGTTGTGTATGGGGCTGTGTAGCTGCAGACTGGTCAGGTTGTCCATGATGACCCATGTCCGCAGACAAAAGCTCCTACAATGGGCATGTGAGCATCAGAACTGGACCACGGAGCCATGGAAGAAGGTGACCTGGTCTGATGACATCAAGAATGGTTTGAGAAACAAAACAATGAGTTCCAGGTGTTGGCTTGACCTCCAAATTCTCCAGATCTCCGATCCATGGAGGGCCCACCTCCCAACTTACAGGACTTAAAGGACCTGCTACTGACGGCTCGGTGCCGGATCCCACAGAACACCTTCACAGGTCAGGTGGAGCCCATGTACGACGGGTTGTGGTGGATGTCATGACATCATGGCTGATCGGTGTATATTATTCGAGGATATGACAACTTCTGGTTGCCTTTCTACTGGCAGATAGAACAATAAAAGGCTCACCTACCAAACATATATTTCATGATGAATGGTCTACGGCTCCTGGTCTGAACCAACCTCATCACCCGGAGACATGGTGGTCAGATCTCCCCATCATAGGACCCTTGTTCTCCCCATCATAGGACCCTTGTTCTCCCCATCATAGGACCCTTGTTCTCCCCATCATAGGACCCTTGTTCTCCCCATCATAGGACCCTTGTTCTCCCATCATAGGACCCTTGTTCTCCCATCATAGGACCCTTGTTCTCCCCATCATAGGACCCCTTTTCTCCCATCATAGGACCGTTGTCTTCCCCATCATAGGACCCTTGTTCTCCCATCATTGGATCCTTGTTCTCCCCATCATTGGACCCTTGTTCTCCCCATCATTGGACCCTTGTTCTCCCCATCATAGGACCCTTGTCCTCCCATTATAGGACCGTTGTTCTCCCATCATAGGACCGTTGTTCTCCCCATCATAGGACCCTTGTTCTCCCCATCATAGGACCCTTGTTCTCCCCATCATAGGACCCTTGTTCTCCCCATCATAGGACCGTTGTTCCCCCCATCATAGGACCCTTGTTCCCCCCATCATAGGACCCTTGTTCCCCCCATCATAGGACCCTTGTTCTCCCCATCATAGGACCCCTTGTTCTCCCCATCATAGGACCCTTGTTCTCCCAATCATAGGACCCTTGTTTCTCCCAATCATAGGACCCTTGTTCTCCCATCATAGGACCCTTGTCCTCCCATCATAGGACCGTTGTTCTCCCATCATAGGACCGTTGTTCTCCCCATCATAGGACCCTTGTTCTCCC